CCTCTTAAATATATTGATTAAATGTGAATTTGATGAGAAGACCAATCTGCCAGACTTGAGAACTGAGGAAAGTATACCTTTTCTTTTAAAAATGACCTTTTTTAAAGGTTTAAATTTCTGACAGAAGAATCATTTGGCAGTGCTAATTACTGTTTTTCATTGAACTCCTATAAATTAGCTTCATTTTATGAAGCAAAAACCTCTCTAAGCTGATAGGTGGATAGAAATTAAACTTTGAAATCAGTTCAATTTACCATACATATCATAGGTTCAGAGTTAGAAAGAACCTTGGAAGTTAAACATTTAACTCCTTTATTTTTACAGGTGAGAAAAAATGAATCTCACAGAGATAAAGTGATTTACCCAAGGTCAGAAAAATAAGAAGTGGATTAGGGGTGGAGGGATGGCAAAAATCTAAACTCAGGCCCTTTGATTTCAGACCAAGACATTTCTAGTATCTGAGAGTATGTATTAGTAAGAGGAGACAGAAGAGGGACAATATTAGAGAACAGCTAGCTGTCCAGCGTTGGCAGAATACAGAGTAAAAGAAGAGAAACAGAAGGGATTAAGACTGAGAATATTGGAGAAAGTCTGTGGAGGACCATATGACAAGCTAGGGAGTTTCTATCTTATCCTATAAACACTAATGAGAGACTGAAGATTTTTGAATGGGAAAGTAACTCGGTTTAGCCTGTGCCTTAGGAAAATTATTTTGACGGCTCTGCCAAGCATAGATTGGAGAAAGGATTGTTTGGAGTCGGTCAGGAAGACTTAATTAGAAGGCTACTGCAGTAGTCAATGTAAGAGGTATGGAGGTCAAAAAATAGGAGTAGTCATTCTGGCTTTCATTGTTTGGTTTTAGTGGGAGGAAGAGAGTAAAAGAGGAATCTAAATATCATTTGTTCCTATTTTAAAAAGTTTCCAGAGCATTGGTTTCTGTAGTTGTTTTACATAAATATTTTGTATCAGATTGTTATTGGGAAAGACAGTGAATATGACTTCAAGCACCATATAGAGTGGATTTAAAAAGGATTTATTTTCCTGATGATCGTGACTTACAGCATTAATGAAAGAACAAGGTCTGTTTGTGATTTTGACCAAAAGATAGCACTGTTGCTATTGTTTCTGTATTTTGCCTTTTTTAATGCAGAAAATGGTTAAGTGTTGTGATCCAATTAACACTGACCCAGCAGAATTCCAAATATTTAATCATTCACAAAACGAAACAACTAGGAAGTGGAATTTGTATCATATAAAGTATTATGCCAAGACTTTTAATATTGATTTATAAAAATAACATACTGTATTTTAAATACTTATGATTAACCCTGGAACAAAATGACATAGCCTTCCATTGTTTAATTTGATGTTTGTATGAAACAGCCTTCACTTTGTGACTTTTAATAACTATCAAGTCTCCATGACACTCTAAAATGTTTCAGTTTTTCAGTCATTATGTTCATACTTTTTTCAGGATGGTACTTTTTTTTTTCTAAAAAGAAGGCATTAAAGCCAACTAGTCATTTTCTTCTGTTTTCCTTGCTCATTACATTTTACCTATTGCTACTTGTCTGGATATGAATTTTGTTAAGATCACTGAAATTTAAAGAGTCATCTATATACTACTTGTAATTTGTCCTGGCCCCTAATATATCAACTTCTATTACTAAGTCTTTTTCAATTATTGCTTTCTGTGAATTAGGAATATTTGTGCATCAGTTTTCTGGGAAGTGGTAACAGTTGAAAAACAGAGTAAAGTTAGAACAAAGCAAATCTGGCTCTAGGAAAATGAATGCTTTTGTAAATTTAACCAGTTTTAACCACCCCCCTCTGGTTGTCTCCCATGTTTTGGGGGAGAGAACTGATACACTTAATGCTATCATCTCCACTTCCTCACTGCCAAGAATTGATTTGATATTGTTTTAACAACATATGATTTTTATTTAAGCAAAAGACTTGTGAATATATTCCTTAATTGATGTTTTTGCATATTTCTAGTTAGGTGCTTCACAATGTAAAATAATTTTACTGTAGTCCAAATTAAGTTATCTTTAATACGTAAGCACAGGGAAGGCTATGTGATTTTTACTAGTGCTCTGCTTTATTCTAGCAGTCCACTTCTGGTGTGCTTTTCTGCAACCTATGAGCATTAAGTAATTTAAATAAAATATTTTTAGGGGGTTCCTTAAGTGAACAGTATACACACACATATACATGTATGTGTGCACACATTTGTATGTAAATATGTATACATATATGTATTATAGTGTTCACTTAGAAACCTATGTAGATATGTATAGAAATGTGAATGTATGTTTGTGCACAGATATGTACCAACAAGCATTTATTAAACAATTACCGTGTGCCAGGCACTGTGCTAAGTGCTGAGGATGCACAGCAAAAGCACCTCCCATACTTCCCAAACCTGATTGCCATACTGACCCCTATACTGTCACTTTGGATCCTGGAAAAGTAGGCTCAAACTTAAAGCGATTCTTTTTTTAACAAATCATTCACCTACCAAATTCATTTATGAATGTGGTGTACCTGATAGATGAGCGCTTTCTTCTTGTAGGATCCAGCATCTTGGCTGCACGATTAACTTAACTGCGGAGCTGGTTTCCTGTCATTCCTGTGAGCGGTACTGGCTTGGATTCTGGTTTCCAGGATTCTGTCAGCTCACTCTATTAACCTTTCAAAGATTACAAGATTGCAAAATAATCCAATATTCCTTCATCTAAGAGCAACCAGAAATAGATAAAATAGAGTCAGAAAAGAAGAGGTAGCTTCAGGGCCATACCCTCCTGGGCCATGTGTTGGCAGCTAAGGTAAGGCCATAGGCAACTTTTTGTAACAGCAGGGCCTCATGCCCTTGATTTCATTGTGGCTTCAGATGAGAAAGGGTCTAAGGTCCCCCCTCACCTAGACGTGCAGCTGTGTGTCCTCCTTGATCACCCCAGGAAAGGGGAAAAGTGCCAAATCATCTAACTAGTGTCTTTTGTAAGCATTTACTGTATAATCTGGCTTCTTTAAGGTAGTGGTTAGTTAGAGAATAGCACAAAAGGGTGTGGTAATAGTATCCATATTTTCATAATTTCTGTACTTTACAAATGTCTGTGGTTCCTCCATTGTGCAGTTTAGTCCCATAGGCAATCTGTGAGATATAACCAGTTGCTTCTTTAGTGACTGGGAGTTAGATTAGATGATCTAAAAGGACAAGAGGTAAGCCTCTTAGACAGAAAGATGAAAAGTGAGGAGAAAAGCTTGTTATATTTGCTTATTTTCCTTTTGTCAATAAAATACTAATGATATTGATATGAGCAATTCTGAATAAAGCAGAACTTGTTAAGAATGGTCAGTGAATGAGTCTTTCTGAGTAACTGAGTTATCCACATTGTTGAGGAGTTATATTTCAAAGTTTCATTGTCTTTTATTTGTTGGCTTTTTTCTGGAGAAGATAGAGTAAAATAGTAGGCAGTTGGAGGTCCCTTCTAAAAATCTGATATTAGAGAAGGCTGGATTCTTTTGGGGAGGGGGGTGCAGGAGATATTGTTTATTCTTTAAAATAAAATGCGGCCTTCAAGAATCTTCCAACATGACATTAAAAATCATAGGAGATTCAATGATAATTGCAACAATATATAGCTTTTACTCCTCCACAATTTATTGTCGAATCTCACTACATACAGAGGCTGTCTGAAGGTTCCTCAAACCTTTTACACTTCCAGGCACCTTCCTAGCTGAGACTTTCACTTCATGTTTTAATTGAGAAAGTTGAACTCATTTTCATGAAGTTCCCTCTTCTCTACTTCGTCTCAGAAACTGTCTTCTCCTATACTCTTATCTCAGAAAAGAAGGAAGGAAGGAAACATACATTTGTTAAACACCTGCTATGTGTCAGGCACTCTACTAAGTGCTTTATAAATATCTCATTTGTCATAACAGACCTGGGAGGTAGGTGCTCTTATTTTCCCCATTTTACAGTTGAGGTAACTGAGACAGGTTAAATGACTCAGATTCATAACCACTCAGAAGAATCTGGCCACATAGTAAGGAGGCTGAGTTCTGAAAAATCAATTAGTTTTACTCAACATAAGTTTACAAATGATTAAACTAACCCTTGTTAATGGGTTGGGGGAAAAAAACCACCTTTGGACCTGCCTGTCCTTCTAGCTATATGAATCAGTCTTCAATTTCATTCTACTTCAGATGTTCCCCTTCTTAATCATATAGATGACTACCTATTACCAATATATTAACTTTCTACTGGTGCAAGTGAGTGAAAAAATCAGACAATTGAGTAATATAAAAAGGTATAGGTTTTATTTGTATTAGTCATTTTGTCTTTTTGTCATTAGGCTGCCTCAAAGAGGATTAACTGTAGGCAGCAGTGTGTTTGTAAATGTTTAACAGCCAGTTCTTCTGGGAAGAAAAGTGTATCGGAAACATTCTTAAGCTTAATTTACTTTATTAACATTTTTTCCATCACTTTCTTAAATCTAGACAGTCATTAAAATAAATCCTAATTTGTAGCATTTGCCAATTTCTGAGGTGTAAATGATCACATTGATAATTTAACAGTTGGCTTTCAAAGGCTGGATTGAGTTAGCTTCAGCACACCCCTGATTGTAGGCCTTTATGTTTGGGATAGTTTGTAAAATATTAATTGCTAAGATGAAAAATGCAAGGTTGCAAATAAAAAACAAAATGTAACATGCATTTTCAACAAAAGGAATATTGAATTATGGTAAAATTAACCAACCAAGAATTTTTACATTAATCTAATTTCTAAAATTGGAAGTAAGAGAAATAATTGTAGAATATGTTAAGGTATAACTAAGACTAGAATTAAAAATTGCAGAAAGACCTAACTTATTTTTTAAAAGCTAACTCAGCTTAGTCAAGAAATTTTCATTATGTTAATTTTTTTCACTTGATAGCCTCTTGTTTTTCTTTAACTTAAACCAACCTTTTGTATATATTTTTCTGATTACTTGTAGATCTGCAATCAAGGCATTGCGTCCTGGAGGATCACTTGTTTATTCTACATGCACCCTTTCCAAGGCAGAAAACATTGATGTTATTGATCAAATCCTAAATTCTCATAGTAATATAATCCCAGTGGACATGAAGGAAATGGCCAGTGCAGTGTCTCATGAGTTCACATTTGCTCCTAGTGGACAGGAATATGGGTTGTTGGTGCTTCCAGACAAAGGTAAAGCCTGGGGCCCGATGTTTGTAGCAAAATTAAACAAATCAATATCCTGAACATATGTTTTATAAATCATATAGACAAATTGTTCTTTTTTGTATGATTTGTGCATAGGAATATGTAAATAGTTATGCTGATACTATTCTTAGGTATTTGGAATTTTAGTCTATTACATTTGCATTTTATCCCCTCATATGGAATCTATGCTTGAAGCTTTTTTTTCTTGGAAATACATCATTAAAAATTATTTAAAGTGGTTGTGGGTGATATTTATTTTGCCCAGTATTTTGCTATATTTTACCTGATATTTTATAGTTAAAATCATCAGAATGCACATTTTTGTTAGTAAAAATTTAAGTGTTGATGTTTTAAACCTTGAGGAAAATTAATATTAACTGATATTAATTTGTGATCCATTTTTTTCCTCATGTTTTTGTGAAAGATCCCACTCCTGAAAGGGCAGTCTCTGTGATCAGTACCAAACCCCAGGGTATCTCCTTGTTAACCAGCTTAGGCTAGGTTCCACCAAAATGGGACCCGGGTTTCTGTAAATAGAGGCCAACCTGAGGTAGGTCCTCCCCTAGGGACATGTCCCTTTTTCTTTACTTTTCTCCTCACCAAAGTTGGGAGTAACCTGATCTAAACCAGGGAGGTCTGGATTGGACTGTTTTTTCTAGCAAAGATTATAGAGGCAGCTGTGTTTTCATGATCAGCCCACTTTCCCCAGCTGCCTCTCCCTACCCCAACCCCCAGTGGTTGGTTGGTTGTTGTCCTTTGTTCTCAGAGAAGACCAAAATGACATCACTGTGCTAGAGTCAAGTTATACTGTGTCCAACTGTGGCTGATCAGACCAATATGAGCTCAGAATGTTCTATCACAGGTCAGGCATAAATAGTCCATGTGAACATTTGGGGTGGATTCCTTAAATTTGGACATCTTGCATTTCTTTTGAGCTTCTTCAGTTCTGCATTGCTCATAGAGCACAGCACCTTCTCTGATGAGGGTACATCATACTGAGTGGTCGTGTGCTAGTGTCTGCTATGTCACACAATCAATTCCAAAGTTCTTTTTTTTTTATTTTAAATTTTTATTTAAAATTTTTAGGCAACTGGGGTTAAGTGACTTGTCCAGAGTCACACAGCTAGTAAGTGTCAAGTGTTTGGTCTGAGGCCAGATTTGAACTCAGATCCTCCTGACTTCAGGGCCAGTGCTGTATCCATTGCTCCACCTAACAGCCCAATTCCAGAGTTCTTAAGGGGCACTTGGAGAGTGTCCTTGTATCGCTTTTTCTACCATGTGAGAGCTTGTTGGGAGGAGTTAAGAACTCTTCACGCACCTCATTAAAATGTCCACCATTGCCAGGGGAGGTCCAAATAAGATAATGTCAGGCCAGTCAGAAAGACACACTCGGGTTTAAAAAGCCTTGTCAATCCATGTTCATGGTCTTTTTGGCACAAATGAGGCTGACCAGAGATCCCTTTACTAATGAGTTCAGTGCTCCATTAATAACGATATTTCACTTGGAATAATTGCCTGATTTTTATCAATGTAATAAAGTTCTCCCATGACAACCTTTAAACTTGAATATCTACCAGCTGTCTTGCTTTTCCCCCCTTTTTTTTTTTGAAATACAGATTATTTTAGATTCTTGTAGTAAGTGGTAGGTATTTAGACTGTTTGCTTAAGAAGCACTAGTTCTAGTGCCAACAAGGTAAATTTCTTATTTGTCAGCTAGTTTATGAGTAAAGACTGTCTTCTTTTAACTGCAAAGGTCAGCGACTCTATTGACATCAGTTTTCTTTTTCCCTTTTTTCACATTAAGAAAATACAAATTGAAAGGGTAAATTTTGCCAGGAAGTCTTTAAAACAGTAGATTCACATGCATATACTTGACTTCCAACATTCAGCTTATAGAATAATGTCTGTGAAGAGAATAATGCATTCTCTTATTGCATTCTCTCTTTGCATATTCTCAATAATTGCATTTCTATATGCAATCTATAAAGCAAGTACTTGAAATAAAACTAGAATGACTAATAACTTCAATAACTAAACTATATTTGTAGAGTTTGGTTACATAATTGTAGTCATAATGACTAGTACAGAATTGGATTCTATCATAGTTACACTCTCAAATAGGTTTTTTACTTCATTGGGTTGTAAAACACTATGTGAGTCTAATGTCACATATGTTACACAAGAGAAATGATTCTAAATAACATCTTAAAAAATAGACTAACCCAAATGGCAAAAGAGGTCCAAAAAGCCAATGAGGAGAAGAATGCCTTCAGAAGCAGAATTGGCCAAATGGAAAAGGAGGTCCAAAAGCTCACTGAAGAAAATACTTCCTTAAAAATTGGAATGGAGCAAATGAAAGTTAATGACTATGAGAAATCAAGAAATTATAAAATAAAACCAAAAGAATGAAAAAAATAGAAGACAGTGTGAAATATCTCATTGGAAAAAATGAATGACCTGGAAAATAGATCCAGGAGAGATAATTTAAAAAGTTATTGGACTACCTGAAAACCATTATCAAAAAAGATCCTAGACATCATCTTTCAAGAAATTATCAAGTACCTGATATTCTAGAACCAGAAGGTGAAACAGAAATTGAAAGAATCCACTGATCATCCCCTGAAAGAGATCCCAAAAGGAAAACTTCTAAGAATATCATATTCCAGAGTTGCCAGGCCAAGGAAAAAATATTGCAAGTAGCCAAAAAGAAATAATTCAAGTATTGTGGAACCACAATCAGGACAACACAAAGATTTAGCAGCTTCTACATTAAGGGATCAGAGGGCTTGGAATATGATATTCTGAAGGTCAAAGGAGCTAGTATTAAAACCAAGAATCACCTACCCAGCAAAACTGAGTATAATCCTTCAGGGAAAAAAATTGATATTCAACGAAATAGAAGACTTTCAATATTTTTGATGAAAAAAAAGGTGAATAGAAAATTTGACTTTCAAATACACAACTCAAGAGAAACTTGAAAAGGTAAACAGGAAAGAGAAATCGTAAGGGACTTATTAAAGTTGAACTGTTTACATTGTTACATGGAAAGATGGTATTTGTAATTCATGAGACCTTTCTTAGTATTAGGGTAGTTGGAGGGAATATATCTGTCTATCTGTCTATCTATCTATCTAGACTGAGGGCACAGGGTGAGTTAAATATGAAGGGATGATATCTAAAGAAGAAAATTAAGGGGTGAGAAAGGATTGTACCGAGAGAAGAAGAAAGGGAGAGGTAGAATGGGGTAAATTATCTCACATAAAAGAGGCATGAAGGGGGAGATGAAAGGGAATGAGTGAATCATTCTCACTGGATTTGGCAGACACGCTCACTTGGGTGTAGAAATCTGTCTTACCCTCCAGGAAAATAGGGGGGAATGGGATAAGAGAGGATAAGAACAGGATGATAGAAAGGAGGGCACATTGGGGGAGGAGATAATCAGAAGCAAACACTTTTGAGAAGGTACAGGGTCAAAGGAGAGAATAGAATAAATGGGGAGCAGGATAGGATGGAGGGAAATGTAGTTAGTCTTTCACAAAATGACTATTAGGGAAGTGTTTTGCATGACTACACATGTATAACCTATACAATTGCTTGCCTTCTCAATGAGAGTGAGTGGGGAGGGAAGAAGGGAGAGAATTTGGAACTCTAAAGTTTTAAAAACAAATGTTAAAAATTGTTTTCACATTCAACTGGGAAATAAGATATATAGGCAATGGGGTATAGAAATCTATCCTGCCCTACAGGAAAATAGAAGGGGAAGGCGATAAGAGAAGGGAGAAGGGGGTGATAGAAAGGTGGGGAGATTGGGAGAAGGGGTATTCAAAATGTACACCATCTTGGGGTAGGGAGAAAAGGAGAGGTGGAGAGAAAATTTGGAACTCAAAATCTTGTGGATGTGAATGTTGAAAACTAAAAATAAATTAATTTTAAAAATAAAAAAAGAAGGAAATCATTCTAATGAGAACTGATTACACTATTTGAGAGAAACTCTGAAGTTTTGTTAAATGGGTTTTCTCATTTATCTGTGTACTGTGAATGTGTATGCTTTGAATTGGATCTTCAAGTAAATACCTGTTTTCTTCTGAAAAAAAAAAACTATAGAGATCCCAACAAATTTGACCACCATTAAGAAATAGTGTAACTGTAATTCTCTGAAAAACTAACTAAAGGATACTTTGAGTCTGTATATGTCTTATACATATATGTAGATAACTTTCTTCCTCTCAGATCATGAAACATTATAGAGTGATGTAATTGAAATGTGAAAAATTTTTTATCAAAACTTTTCAAAAGTACTAATTAGTGCCAGATGGTTGTTAATGAAAAGGTAGAGTAGACTGAGTAGATAAATCACAGAGAAAGCTCTTAAAATTTACTTTGATTCTTGAATTTCATAGTAAAGTCTTTCCCCAATTAAGTAATTTTTAAGCCCACTCTGAATACATAGATATTAAGCCTTAACATGTTTCCTGGGAAATGTAATAGTATAAAGTTCATTTTGTCTACTTCTGTAAACCCAGGACTACTTACCAGCTTTCCTCTGATACCCCATAACTTAGTTTTCCTCTTTTTTATTAAGTTGCCTGACTCGAGGGTATAAGATGATTAATTAATATTTCAAAAATCCTTTGAAAATGCTCTAAATCACTATTGATTAGAGAAATGCAAATCAAAACAACTCTGAGGTACCACAATATACCCATCAGATTGGCTAACATGACAAAACAGGAAAATGATAAATGTTGGAGAAGATGTGGGAAAATTGGAACACTAGTTCATTGCTGATGCAGTTGTGAACTGATCCAACCATTCTGGAGAGCAATTTGGAACTATGGCCAAAGGGCTATAAAACTATGCATACATACCCTTTGACCCAGCAATACCACTTTTAGGTCTCTATCCCAAAGAAATAATAAAAATGGGAAAAGGACCCACAAGTACAAAAATTTTTATGGCAGCTTTTTTTTGTAGTGGCCATGAATTGGAAATTGAAGAGATGTCCCATTAATTGGAGAATGGCCGAGCAAGTTATGGTATATGAATGTAATGGCATACTATTGTGCTATAAGAAATGATAAGCAGGTGCACTTCAGAAAGACCTGGAGAGAGTTATATGAACTGATGCTGAGTGAAGTGAGCAAAACCAGGAGAACATTGTACATAGTAACAGCCACAATGTGTAATAACTAACTTTTATAGACTTGGCTTTTCTCAGCAATTCAAGAATCTAAGACAA